GTTTGGGGCCCTGCACCTCCATCTGTTGGGGGTTTTAAATATTATATTAGTTTCATTGATGATTTCAGTAAATTTTCGTGGATCGATTTGATGCATGATCGTACAGAAGCTCCTCGTATATTTTTGCAATTCCAAGCTCATGTTGAGTGTCTCATAGATACTAAAATCAAGTGGGTCCAATCTAATTGGGGTGGGGAATATCAGAAAATTCATAACACATTTTTTCGTTCCCTTGGAATTGGTCATCGTGTTTCGTGCCCTCACACACATCAACAAAATGGGTCTGCTGAACGCAAGCACCGTCATATTGTTGAAACTGGCCTAGCCCTTCTAGCTCATGCTCATGTACCTATTAAATTTTGGGATGACGTGTTTCTTATAGCCACATATCTCATCAATCGTCTTCCTACTCGTGTCATCGATAAAAAATGCCCCTTAGAGCTTCTTTTTCATACCCCACCAAATTACTCCTTATTAAAAAATTTTGGGTGTGCTTGTTGGCCTCATCTTCGTCCTTATAACAAACAAAAGCTCTCTTTTCGATCAAAGGAATGTGTCTTTCTAGGCTACAGTTCTTCACATAAGGGGTATAAGTGTCTTGACACCGATTCTGGTCGTGTCTATATGTCTAGAGATGTCATATTTGATGAAAATGTTTTTCCATTCAAGAGAGCCCGACCTAATTCTTCCCCAACCATGCAGTCGACGCATAATGCCCTTGATTTGTGCACCTTGCATTTGGGTAATAGCAGTACTAATTTGGAGAATGATCACATGCATATGTCTGGGCCTACTAACTCTTTGGATGCAGAAAATTTGGTGTCTACATCAGCTTCGGAATTGCCGCAACAATCCTCCGCGTCGCTGCCATGCGAATCGGCGTTGGTTGTTCCGCCAATGATTGAGGCCTCGGCTCCTCCGCCAGCAGATGATATTGCACAATGCCCGGTCGAATCCTCGGCTGCTGGTCAACCAACTGTTGTAGCATCGGTTGCTCCCCTCGCAACGACTGATACGGCCATCCCCTCAATGTGGATCCTGCACCTACTACTCATCCGTATGGTACTCGATTGAAGCACAATATCAAGAAACCCAAGGTGCGTACAGATGGAACAGTAACATATCTTGTAGCTCGGTCTTCTGCCTCTGAACCTACTTCACATATTATTGCTATGGAGCATCCCCTCTGGCGTCAGGCAATGAATGATGAATTTCAGGCACTTCAAAAAAATAAGACATGGCACTTAGTTTCTCCTCGTGCTGGTCTCAACGTTATTGATTGCAAATGGGTTTTCAAACTCAAGCAAAAGCCAGATGGCTCTATTGATCGCTACAAAGCACGCCTGGTTGCTAAAGGTTTTAAACAGCAGGCGTTGATTATGATGATACCTTTAGTCCAATTGTTAAGCCCACTACCATTCGACTCTTATTATCTCTTGCTATTTCTCGTGGTTGGGCTATTCGGCAGATTGATATTCAAAATGCTTTTCTTCATGGCTTTCTTAATGAAGATGTTTATATGAAGCAGCCCCCTGGATTTGTGGATTCTCAACACCCTGGTTATCTCTGCAAGCTGGATAAGTCGCTTTATGGCCTTAAACAAGCTCCGCGTGCCTGGTTTTCTCGCCTTAGCTCCAAACAATTACAGCTGGATTTTACACCTTCAAAGGCTGATGTCTCTCTTTTCATTTTTAACAAAACGGGCATTCAGATGTATATCCTCATCTACGTTGATGACATTATTATCATCAGCTCATCTTCTACGGCTATTGAGAAACTTCTTACACAACTTCAGGATGATTTTGTCGTCAAGGATCTTGGTCTTTTGAGTTATTTTCTTGGGATTGAGGTCCGCCATACTTCCAGTGGACTTATTCTGACACAACATAAATACATTCGAGATTTATTAGCCAGAACCGATATGCTCACCTCCAAAGGTGTGCCCACACCTATGCTTCCCAGTGAGAAGTTGTTATTGAATGGTGGTAAAAAGCTCTCACCTGAGGATACTACTCGCTATCGAAGTGTCGTTGGTGCTCTCCAATATTTGTCTCTGACACGTCCTGATATATCCTTTTGTGTCAACAGAGTGTGTCAGTTCATGTCCTCTCCGACTTCTATACATTGGGCGACAGTCAAACGAATTCTCCGTTATCTACATGACACTATTGATATGAGTTTGTGTCTTACAAAGTCCAGCACTGATTTGTTGAGTGCCTTTTCAGATGCTGATTGGGCTGGGAATCCTGATGATCGTCGAAGCACTGGAGGCTATGTGATCTTCTTTGGTGGCAATCTTATCTCTTGGAGTTCGAGGAAACAATCGACAGTATCTCGTTCTAGTATGGAAGCCGAATATAAGGCGGTTGCTGATGCCACTGCCGAATTAATTTGGATCCAAGTCCTCTTGCGTGAGCTCGGGATCTCGCAAGCGCGAGCGCGTAGCCTATGGTGTGACAACATTGGTGCCACCTACCTATCCGCCAATCCAATCTTTCATCGACGGACGAAGCATGTTGAGGTTGATTATCACTTCGTTCGTGAACGAGTATCGACTCGTCAGCTTGATGTTCGAGTCATATCTTCCAAGGATCAGCTCGCCGATATCATGACAAAGCCACTGCCAGCTCCTTCTTTTAGCTATTTTAGGCGCCATCTGAACTTAGTAGTACATCGTCCAGATTGAGGGGGTGTTAAACCTAAAATAAATCATAACTGTATATACTAAAATAATCTAAGATTTGAAGGGTTTGTTACCAAATCTATGATTTCATGGTTTGTTATCAAATCATAGATTTGGAATGTAATCTTCATTATACACATCTATAAATACATGAGGTCGTGACCCATATAGGTCATCGTGTCATTCAATCTAACACTTGTATCGTTGGGCTAAGGATTAGGATTGCCTTATCAAGTTTTATGGAATATAGAATGAGAGTTCTTTTGTTAGTGTGTTGGGTGTTGAGTTCTTATTTTGATAAAAGGTGTTCCAAGAAATATGAACTAACGTTTTTATTTGAGCCCTTTTTTTATTAAAAAAAAAAACTGTTCGTCTATGTAAACTATGTACCTCGAATAAAGGGATAGTTTTAAAGATCGAGTAACAAAAGAAGTAGAGTAAGAGAGTAGTGAAAAAGCGATAGAAAAAAAACAGAAAAACAGGGAAGTATTATGTCATTCTTTATAACACTCTCCAATAATATAGGAGAAGTTCTGTTCATCCAAATGGATCATTTACAAACTATTTAGAATTACAATTTAGTCAAAAGTTCATTTTAATATATTCATCTCATGGATTCTTGTTATCCTCCAATTAAAACCAAAATCTTGAGAGGGTGGAATTTTATTGTCCAAATTTTGAAACAATCATTTAAATAAACTACTTATCCTATTTGGAAAAGAGTTAATTGTATCTTATGAAATTGTATTCTTACCTTCTTATTTGATAAAGTCCTCGGAATAATAGGTTTCAGTTAAAAAAATCACTCACCTTTTGAAATCAAAAGATGACCAGATAAGCAGTAATTCGTAGTTCGCTCAGGATTGAGATTGCTCGGGATTGAGATTGAGTGACTTATAATCATTTTTAAAAAATTATCTTTTCAATTAAAAAAAATTGTGAGATTCCCACCTTAATTTGAGAGGGAAACAAAACATTATTTATATGGACATGAAAACTTCTCAACAATAGATCCTTTTAAAACGGTGAGGCTAACAATAATATGTAATGAGTCAAAACAGGCAATATCTGTTAGCGGTCGACTTATGATGTTATAAATGGTATTAGAACCAAATACTAGATATTGTGCTGGATGCGAGTTATATATTAGCAATGGATTTAAATCGTTATAAACTAAATTATTAAAAATAGACAACATTTAAGGCACATTTTGATTATTGTTTCAAACCACTTGTCAACATTTTCTTTAAACAATGGTACACTTCGAATGAAAATAAACTAAAATATTTGAAGAAGAATTGGCCAACATTGGAGGAAGCAAGAAATAACTTCTTTCTCAACATTTTGTTTAAACAATGCTACACTTAATGAAAATAAACAAACGTTTGAAGAAGAATTAGCCAACATGGAGGGAATCTCTTGCGAAGAAGCCTTCCATGTTCTCCATTTATTTTTCTTTTTTCAATGTAATCTTTATTAAAAAATTTATTATATTTTCTAAGTAATATATATAATCTACCAACCTAAAATTAAAAATTTTAATTTTAACGATATAAAAAAAATCTACAACATAGTCTTGAATATAAATATATAATTATGATCTCAAAATTATATATATATATATTTATTTATTTATATTAAGTGGGGTGGAGAATTAGGCGGGATGGAGATGGAGAATATAATTCCCTCTGTACCCATTTATCCAATGGGGAAATTTTTTTTCCCACTCCCTTCGTGTCTAAATAGGAAATCCCCTCCCCGTATGGATTGGGACCTAATTCCGCGAGTAAAATAGACATCTCAAGCTACGAACAACAACAAAGAGCAAATAAACCCATTAAAAACAAATTCGAGAAGAAAAGAACAAAATAAGATGATATCATAACAAATATCAATGATTCATAAAAAAAATAATTATTATTAATGATAATATAATATTAATAATTATTAGTACTTTAACTTGTTAATTTAAATATTTTTCATAAACATATGTGGACATAGACATTTGATAAAGTTTAGAAAATAAAAACTTCCCATCAAGTGGACGAACTAGTATATCTAACTTTGTAGAAGCTACCAAACCTTTTGAGTTTCATGCTTTCTTTTATTATGGTGTTTATTATGGGAATAATTCAAACAAATTTCAAAGGGAAAGCTAAGGAAACTGTCAAGAAAATGCACCCACACGCATTTATGTCTTAAATTTGAACATGTCTACTCTATAGAAATGGTCAGATCATTAAAAGCCCACGCGTTTGCTTTGCTATTTATTTGATACCTACTTATCCATTTTTGCTTTGTAGTCTTCAAAAAAATTTTCACTCGAAAAGAAAAAAGCTTTTTCATAGGTTATTCCATTGCTATGAGAGAATCATCATCGACTTCTTATCATGTGTTTTTGAGTTTTAGAGGAGAGGATACTCGAACCAATTTTACCAGTCATCTTGTCATGGCTTTGCAGCAAAAGTGTGTCAACGTCTTCATAGATGACAAGCTCGAAAGGGGTGAACAAATTTCTGAATCTCTTTTCCGATCTATAGAGGGAGCTTTGATTTCTATTGTTATATTATCTGAGAATTATGCATCTTCTTCTTGGTGTCTGGATGAATTGGTGAAAATAATCGAATGTAAGAAATCTAAGGATCAGAAAGTTTTGCCAATTTTCTATTACGTGGATCCATCAACTATACGAAAACAAACCGAAACTTTTGGAGAAGCATTAGCCAAACATCAAGCTGAGTTCAAGACGAAAATTCAAATTTGGAGGGAAGCTTTAACTACGGCTGCCAACTTGTCTGGTTGGCATCTCAGACCTAGGTATATATTCTTAATACTAGAGGATTTATTCTATCTCAAGATGCAATTTAACTTGTCATTTTTAACTTTAGTATGATTACGTGCTTAACAACAGGTATGGTAGGAATGAGGCTGATTTTATTCAAGACATTGTTAAACAAGTGTTGTGTATGTTAAAACGCACTTGCACACCCTTATATGAAGAAAGTACAAAGTTACACTCTCAGTCACAACCAAAATGCTCTGATACCAATTGTTGTACTCCAATACCACAACCTAAATGTTCTGATACCAATTGTTGTACCCTAACGCCACAACCAAAATGTTTTGATACTAATTGTTGTACCCCAATGCCACAACCAAAATGCTCTGATACCGATTGTTGTACCCTAATACCACAACCAAAATGTTCTGATACCAATTAATGTAGAGGAAGCGGAAGCAAGATCGATCGTACTCACATATCCACAAACAATTGATTTGTTATCGAATCTTCATTAACTTAGTCTTAATGGATGTTCTAGATTTGAAATGCTTCCCCATAAATTGGGCTCAACAATCCATCCAATATTCTTTTTTTTTCAAGTTATGGAAACTTGGTCGAATTTCTACATTTATCAGTTTCAAAAGAGAGCCTATGTTTTCTCGTTTCAGATGGTTTGGAAATTTTGTGTGATGTCACCCCATCCTTATCTAGTCTATTCTTGTCATAAAACAATTTCTTTCGTCTATCCTCATGTCTCCACAGGTTTACGACCTTGTAGCATCTCCTATTGAGTAATTACAAGTTTCTTCCAGAAATTCCAAACCTCCCTTTGTGTATACAAAAAAAAAAAAAAAAAAAAAAAAAAAAAAAAAAAAAAAAAAAAAAAAAAAAAAAAA